CTCTGGTAGAGGCGGGGAAGGAAATCATCAACCTCCTCCTCCGCCTCCTCCTCCTCTCCCTCCTTCTCCTCCTCCTCCTCCTCTTCCTCCTCCACTCCTTCTCCCATCCTCCCCCATAGTATACTCCTCTTCTTCCTCCTCCTCCTCCTCCTCCTCCTCCTCCTCCTCCTCCTCCTCCCTCGTCCTCGGCCTCGTCATCCTCCTCCTCATCCTCCAGCCCCCCCCTGCTCAGGAGATTGCAGCTTCAGGGGCTGGCGGGCACCGAGACCGCAGCAAGCACCCTTCGCTGCGGCCGCTCCCTCCAGGTTCGCGCACACCTTACCTCCTGTGGTGATGCCACTCCTTCTTGTGCGCGTCGTGCTGGGCATGCTCAGATACGTGTACTAGAACTGCCAAGGCGCGGGCATCGAGTGATTGCATGACATCCCGGATAAGTTCAGAATCACGGACATGGCAGCAGGTACAAGCACTGGGGAGAGAGCGGCGCCCGACCACTCGGCGGCGTATCCGGACTTGCAGCACCACTTCGCGGTGCGGTGCGGGCTCACACCTGGACGGCACGTCAACGAATCTTGTGGCATTGCCCTGCTGCTGCGCCAGCGAGTGCTCCAACGGCGTGCTGTGGTAAACGTTCCCGCCGTCCCAGCTGCCCTGCGAAGGCGCCCCGCAGAGTTTCGACTGAGGTCTGACCGCGTCTGACTACCTACCAAACCACCCCAACCCAACCCGAAGACCTGAATTTCGCCCGAATTTCGGGTTGGGTGGGGGTACGGGTTCTATGTGTTTTTTCAATTCCCCGACGCCCCCCCCCCCCCTGAAAAGGGAGGGCAAATTGAGGCCTTCGGGTTGGGTTGGGGTGGTTTGGTGGGTGGTGAGCTTCGACGTGCCGATCCCTGTGCTGCACGTCCCCTCCCCCCCCGCGGGCCAAGCGCACGCCGAGGGGGTCGCGGGTCTCAGGCGGACGCGGACACCGTCCGGGCGCGGGACCGCTCGACCGTCGATCTGCCGTGCCAGCGGTCGGGGAGGGTGCCGACGTGGTCCAACCTCCTCCTCCTCCTCCGTCTCCCCTCCTCCTCCTCCTCCTCCTCCTCCTCCTCCTCCTGCTCCTCCTCCCCCTCCCCTCCTCCTCCCCTCCTCCTACCCTAACTACTCATACTCATCCTCCTCCTCCTCCTCCTACTAATCCTACAAGCACTCCTCCTCAAATCCGTCGCTTCCCTCCGTCAGCTCGTCCTCATACTCCTTCCTCCTCCTCTCCTCCTCATCCCCCTCCTTCCTCATCCTCCTCCCAAGCGCCGCTCTCGCTGACGCCTGGGCCTCGCGATTGAGCGCCCTGAGCGCCTCGTGCGGCTCGAGGGCCACGCCCGAGGGCCCCGCCGAGGTGGCGTCACTTCCTTTTGTTTCCCCCCGCGCACTCCCCCTGACGCTACTCCAGATTTCGTAATAAAAGGGAGGGGGTCTGGACCCTCCAAGACAAGCCATTCAGACCTCCCCCGTGGGAGAACCCTCCAAAACATCGTCCCCAGACCCCCCAGGCCCTCCAAGATAGCCTGGAAGAGACCCCCCCCCGAAATGAGACCCCCCTCCCTTTATCACGAAATCTGGAGTATCCTCCGTGCAGTTCCCAGTGCAAGCACCTAGACAACAAAGTGTGGCTCGTTTCGGCGTCTTGCTGGCCGAAGAGCCCCCCCACCGTCAGCCTGCAGCGCCGGCGGAAACGGATGCATTTGATAGCCGTGTTCTCCCTCGCCCAGCGCGTTGACATCACCGAGGTGGCGTCACCGACTGGGTGCGATCACCTGCACTTGGCCCTGTTGCTAAGGGAGGGCAGCACTGTGCAGCTGACCGCGCGCTGGAACCCATGGAGGGACATGCGGTGGCTGCGGCGACCTCGGCCCATAACCACGGCGGCACTCTTTTCGGGGCCCACCCGTCCATTAGCGTTGACCAGATTAAGGTGCTCGCTTGGCAGATGGCGTCGGTCACTTACTGTGCTGCGCTGCGCTGCGCAGGTTCAACCTGATGCTGAAGTTGCGCTGACGGCAAAGGCTGCAACACCATCTTCTTCTGTTTCACAAGCTTGGCTACAGCTTCGACAGCAGCTCTTCCCAGCCGCCTTCGACTCGATGGGGCTTCGATCCCTTGGCGAGACCGTTGAGACAGGGGGTGGGAGTGCCTGAGTTCTTGGCGGATTTGGAGGCCCAGTTCAGTAGCGGCCCCGACTATCATGACCTTCTGCTACATGGGAGTGCTCCAGATTGCGGATGGGAGAGGTGGTGACTGCGGTGCACTCGACGGCGGAGCGTCACTTCGCCCGAGGATGCAGGCGCGACCCGAAGGTGAATGAGTATCAGCGTCTTCGTAGTCAACTCCTTCGTGTTCGTCGGCAGGCGAGGCAGGAAAGGACAAGTGACTTGGAGTCGGGTATGCTGCTCGCGAGGCGCAGTCGGAAGTTGAGACATTCAGGCGTGCACACCAGGACGCGGTGACAGAGCAGCTTGTCGACGAGATTGGTGAGGCCTGGCGTTGTCGGCGACGCGCTGCGATTGGAGGCTTGCGCATGTTCTCGCCGGGAAGTGCAGTGGTCCCAAGCGGCGCAGGTTCAATGCCGCCGAATCGTACGCCCTGGGACGCCCCGGGGACGGAGGAGATCAAAGACTCCTTCAAGAGTCCTGGAGCTGAGGGTGGCTTCTCGGCCGTGCCCGTGGAGGTCGACGACGACCAGCAGCGGCTGCTGGAAATTCTTCCGGGCCCCCCGTCTTTCGGCAGTGGCAACTTCAGGCACGTGGAGCTTGGCCGCGGCGATCCCGAGGCTGGGACAGGGCCGGTGGCAGAGGCCCCCTCGACGTCAGGCGGCGCCGCTGCACTTCATCCGCTCGGAGCTGATCGTGGCCGTGCTCGACCCGGCTCGGAGGTTCGACGGATCGCATCGGAAGCCTCGGCGACGGCCTAGTGTTAGGGCGGGCGTGTCCCCCCTACAGGCGGATTCTGGACGAGAAATCAGAAACAGTCAAACAGTACACCAAACATGGCCAAACATAGTATAATCAAAAAACACAACAACAACAACAACAACAACAACAACAACAACAACAACAACAACAACAACAACAACAACAATCATTTTACCCGAACGCTCAGTGTTCTCACCAGTGCCAGGGTTTTCATGCGACGCGAGACAATACCCCCACTTCGTGGGGGGGCAGTTCAAGCTCTACCAAATATCCAAACGACTCTTCGCGACCACCCAAACCCAGCTTCCCGCCCTATGACGTTGGGACACTTCACTTCGTGGCGTGCGGACGACCGTGGCTACTACACTGGCGTGGGGTACACACCCACAGAACTTGGTCACTTATTCGGGGCGCGCGTGTGCCCAGCATCCTGCAATTGTGACATACAATACATGACACAGACAGACAGAGAGAGAGACAGAGAGCAGACAGAGAGAGAGACAGAGAGAGCGGAGTTGGTCACATTTTTGGGGCAAGTTCCTGAGATCGTCGTGTTTTTTGTTGGTCTTGCGCGCGCGAATGTCCACTTTACTTTTTTTTGCAAGGGAGTATTGAAATTTGATTATGTTAGAACAAGAAAAAGTAGCTCGCGCGAGCTCATGTAACATAAATGTTGAAAAACCATTGGTTTTGTGGGAGTCGGACAGCGCGCGCGGGATGAAATTTGGACATTTTTTTTTGAAAAACCATTGGGTTTTTGATGTTTTTATGTTGAAATCGTTACGAAACCTAAGGTTCTGGAAGGATTTCGTCTTGCGCGCGCGAATGTCCACTTTACCTTATTTTTTGCAAGGGATTATTGAAATTTGATTATGTTAGAACAAGAAAAAGTAGCTCGCGCGAGCTCATGTAACATAAATGTTGAAAAACCATTGGTTTTGTGGGATTCGGACAGCGCGCGCGGAAGGACATTTTGACAATTTTTTCTTAAAAAACCATTGGGTTTTTGATGTTTTTATGTTAAAATCGTTACGAAACCTAAGGTTTTGGAAGGATTTCGTCTTGCGCGCACGAATGTCCACTTTACCTTATTTTTTGCAAGGGATTCTTGCAATTTGATCAAGTAAGAACAAGAGTTTTCATTTTATAGTGTTTTTTGCAAGGGAAAACGGATTACAACAAAACAACCGGATCTGGCATAATCCACTTTTCTGAAGCTTTCGCGAAAAAATGATGAAAATGTAGCTGCGGCCTAGGTTTTGGAGGGGGGTCGTGCACCAGGGGTCCCAACAATAATTATTCTTTAGAAGTAATAATGTTCAACAACAACAAGAACAACAACAACAACAACAACAACAACAACAACAACAACAACAACAGCAGCAGCAGCGACAACAACAACAACAACAACAACAACAACGACGACGACGACGACGACGACGACAACAACAACAACAACAACAACAACAACAACAGCAGCAGCAACAACAACAACAACAGCAACAACAACAACAAAAACGGTCCCTAGCGCATGTGTTGACAATTTCTGACTACGCCTCCTGCAGAGGGACAGGCCCGACTTCAGCCTGGTGATGGCGATGATGGGCCACGGCCTGTCCCGCGTCCGCGTGCCGAGAGCCTGCTCCTCGGCACCTCGGCCCGCCGGAGAGCGGCGGGGGGGCCTCGGCTCAGGGGTGGCCGCGTCCAGCCCGAAGGAAGTCGGCTTGAAAGGGGGGGCCTGTTTGCCACCACCACCACCACCACCACCATGAGCAGGAGGGGAGGGGGTCCTCCTCCACCTCCTCTTCTTCCTCCTCGTCGTCCTCCCCCCCCCCCCATCCGATTCATGGTGGTGGTGGAAAACAGGCCCATCATGGAAGGCCTTGCAGAAGGCCTTCCACCACACTCGCCGGGTTCAACGGGCACCTGTGGCGTGGCATCCTTCGCGGGCTGCTGGTTTGGACGAGCACAGTGGCAAGGAAAGCTTCTCGGTGAAGCGGTAGATTCATGGTCTGTGTCATATGGGAGCGTTTTGTGGTATAAGGG